GATTCCCAGTAATTATAACACGTGAGAAACTAACAGACCCACGTAATAACAATTTTATTACCCTTTGTATTTTAACGAGACAATATTCGCGTACATTTCATACGTACGATCACCTTAATTAACTTTATATTCGGCTCTACGAAATGGCGTCTATTATATATATATATATGCGAACCCCTACTAATAACTTATATGTTCTTTACCGATAGGATTTGGAACTGAACATCGGAAACATATTATTAACAGCACGGAATGATATATGCCGGGGTTCAAGCCCTACTCGTGTCAATTTTGTTTTAATCTAAAATCGATTTTTAATTTATATAATGCCATCATGTGCAATAACATACGAATATTAAACATTAAACATAATCCAACACGAAACGGACTTAGAAATGTCTGTTTCACTAGAATTCGATCCAAATGATGTCCACAATATTGCAAAAAATGTCTGTTTCTTCAACTAAGCCCTCGTGCATATTTGTAGATATCTAATCTAATTAAGTTTTATGTATAACTGTTACATTACTATTTGTGCTACTGTTCAATTAATATAACTGGATTTGGCTGGCTAGAAACAGTTTTAATTGTATAAATAACTGGTAAATGATAAATATGTTTGTTAAATAAAACGCCTTTAACGGAAAGTTTATTATGTTTTAAACATTTGAAAGATTTTTTCATTAATGTGTTACTACTTGCGTTACTAACTTTTTTTATAAGCTTAAATGTTATTAAAATTTGATGTAGGTCTAATAGTAGGGTAATTATTTAATAATAATTTGAGCTGATAAAATGATTCTTCTAATACTGCCTAATAAACGTAGTTTGTTTTTTATTTAGACGTAAACACTTATACATATTTGATCTTAATCGACTTTTGATTTCGGCCATACTAGGCACAGATAGCGCTTCACGATTGTTTTTTGAGTGTCTACAAGTAACGGTAATATATAAAAATCGTGCAATATGTAGTTATACGTTAAGTAAATAAAAACATATGTATATTGGTAGGTATTGTGCTCCGGACATGTTCAGTATAGTTATATAATTAATGTATATGTTCATACTCTTCGTTATAAGAAAATATAGCTAAGGAGAACAAACTTCAGTTCAAATGTTAATCCCGGATACGGGCAGAGATATATTTTTTCCAGCAACACAATACAGAAGTATAAGATGACAACTGACAACAGTCACGGACGGTTGCCTGTACGTTGACACAGCCCATGAACTCACCATTGTTTAAAACGTTACATAACAATGATAAAATAAATCGCGTAATCAAATACGCTGTTGTTTGCGGATAATATTACACGATTCAAAGTGTTGCGAAATACAAAATGTGTATTAAACGTGTTTAGCTTCAGCAAATCCTTTTTAAATATTTAATTGGTGAACGCAGCCATTATTGTGACGACTACTTAAAATTAAATCATAACTACACCTATAAAAGTAAGTTGTTTATGGAATCAAATTAAAGCTTACGTATATATTTCCATCATGTGCATGAATGTACGAAAAATATTAAACCCCCTCTGGGGGGGGGGGAAAATTTAAATTTTGGGGCGGGGGGTGGGGGGGGGGGGGGGGGGGGGATGGCATTTTAAACCGTTAGAAGTGTTTTATTTAAATGTTTCTAGTAATTAAGAAATAGCATTTTTTGGCGCCATTTTCTCAGCCGCCATCTTGCCAAAATCTTTTGTTTAATTTCTTAAATGACTTGAAGGCGTTGTAAAATTAATGAGAATATAAATACAAAGACACAGACAGTAGGTCTGTAATTTACGCAAGTAGTACAACAATAAACAAGAATTTTCAATAAACATTTTAACTGTTAAACGCGACATGTACACTTGTTTTAAAAATACCTTTAACTACTTTCGGATACTTTGCAATAACCGTGGTCGCGGTGAGACAATATTTCGCGTTTTAAACCGTTACAGTGTTTTATTTATATAGTTTTCTAACCAAACTTGTAAAAGCAAATACTAAGAGGAAACTTGCCTCATCAATGGACGTCAAAACGTGTTTTGGACTACCCAGAAGTGTGTAAAAAGGTCTTTTAAGCTCAATTCCGTTCACCGCGTACCCTTTAGTATTTGTTTTTGTTTGCTTTTGGACAAAAAGCGAACATATTGGATTACTGTAACATTAATAGCAGTTAATTTGATATCGGAGCCTTTGGGAACATAAATTTTAGCCCAACCGCTATTTATCAAGCGGTTGTGGTTAACATCGGGCAGTTTTGATTTTTGTTAATCGTTTCAAATATCTTTACGCGTGAATTCGTTTGTTTTCACTGATAAGCCTTACGCTTAAGTTATATAAAAAAGAAAACTATTTAATTTACGTATACATTAAATTATATAGTTTTCTTAGAAATGGTTTGAAACGCGAAATTTTTAATTATGCACAAGCACAATGTAGGATCCGAAACCTCGTCTCGCGAAACGTGTTTTTTTTTTACTATAATAATAATAAAGATTGTAAACAGTATTTATTGAATACAGCCCCTACACTAAAGTCATCAATTTTTTTTTATATATATAAAAAAATGTGATGCTATTTAATTACTTTAATATCTTTGATATTAAAAAAAAGCGACAAAATTACTTCCTTACTAACATATAAGTTACATAGTGCATAAAATTTCTAATCCCGCAAGTGGGTCTAATAACTGACATTTGTTACAAGCCTAGGCCAACGTAGTCTAGACTTTAAGCCTTTAGTCCAACAATCTGTGCGTTGCAAATCTTATCTTAATTACGTCTACGAGGCTAAGCTTTACTCGACTGCGACAAGGAGTATGCAGAAGATATTGAGAGTATTTACTCCTCTGTTCAAACTAATAAAAAAAATACTTTGACATTAGGGACATTGTAAATCTTTAATCTCTCCACGGTCAGGGCCTCTGCAAGTCATCTGCGGGCCTTAGGTAAATAAAATTATTTTAACTAATACATTTCGCGTTTTAAACCGTTAAAAATGATGTATTCACATGGGTATTCCTTGCAACTACCTACTGACAATATTAAAAAAGGATTAAGTTGTATATGGAAATAAATAAAATAGAACAATAATAATTTTAAATATCCTATTGCTAATTATTTATAAACACTGATAGTGTATTGAACTATTAGTAGTTTGGAAACGGGTAGTTAGCGAATAAATTTTATATTCAACGTTTAATTATAGCATTTGGTCAAAAGTTATTTTAAATGCACTGAGCTGAGCTGTAATTGTAGTTCGGAAATTTCAAAATTGGAAAGTAGCAGTTGCCGCAACATTTTCAAATTCCCCTTCCTCGTTACCACGCGCAATAATTATTGTAATACGTACTAAATATATGACAATCATATATTACTTATAAGAGTAGTGTATTTCCATTGTGGGGCTTGGGGCAGACAAATTTTACCTAATTTGGGTTTAATTGGGGTATTTCGTTCACATCAGTTCCATGCTATAATCCCATTCTAGTCTTTCCTTCTTTATAATAAAAATAATGCAGCATTTTTATATATTTACAGTATGAAAAAAATACTTCAATAAAAATTCTACCCAACAAAAAAAAAAAAAAAAATTTTTTTTTTTCAAAAAAAAGTGGTGCATGCAATCATTTGAATAAATTGATGTGCTCGACTAAATATAAATAAAAAATACTGCACTTTAGTATGCATAATCCGGCGCTCGTTATTCATTCCTAAAAGCATCGCGTCAGTAACATCGATAAACCTGTATAAAGGCGAAAACTTGACTAACGCTGCGGTCTCCTAACATCACTCGAGGTCGCGTACAGATTCCGTATTATTTTCTGAATTCACCTAATAAAAGGTAATGTACCCAATCCATATACCATCTAAGCAAGATGCACACTGCCGACCTATTTTGGTTGTGGACAGTACTGATTATAACCGAAACGTGATTTAGCTTCGAGGCTTTTATCTGCGGACGGTGGTTTATTACTCACTCATTTAATATCAAGAATATCCAGGCGAACTCCAACATATTTCAGATATATTAGACACTGATTAGAAACATTTAACGGTTTGACACGCGATATATTGGTTAACTTTTTGAAAATGATTTTTAACTTCGAACCACGTTTCGGGGGGGGGCGGCCCCCCGGGGCGGGGGGGGGGAAAGGGGGGGGGGGGGCCCCCCCCCCCCCCCAAAAAAACCCCCCCCCCCCCCCCCCCCCCCCCCCCCCCCACCGGGGGCGCGGGGGGCAAAAAAGAATAAAAAAAATTCCGCGTTTTTAACCGTTAAAGGGTTTTTTTTAAATGTGTACTCCTCGCGTAAACTATAGCCAGTATTTAAATTAGACACTGATTAGAAACATGTTTGACCCGGTGGGGATTGAACCCACGACCCGGTGGTTATTATCCATACACTGCTACCATTAAAGCTACGAGTTTGTCAATTTTATCGTATACATTAAATTCGTTAACTGAAGGGAAGCAGTACTACAAGAATAAAGGGATTTGGATCTATACCAAATATTATTTTATAATAAGCGTATATCGCAGCGTCACGCAAGGCTACGGCGTTTATAGGAGACCGTAGCCTTAAAACCACTTGAACATCGAAATCGTGCGTGAGAAAATGACAACAGGTGCGCGTTTAGAAGGCCCACCAAAGAATTAGCATCACACTTATTTGAATGTATAGTAATGTTTGCTGGAACGGACATATTTTGTGGCTTTTGTATCACAATTACATGGCCGTTAAATGCGAAAAAAAAACATATACAGGACACAAAATTAATTTATGATTCAAAGTCGTTGTACCCAACACAATGAAAATAGATTTTATTTAATAACGTATAAGACCTTGTACGAGTATAAACACTTAGATAATATTCAATGAAAGACAACAGCGAAAATAAGAATCTAGAAAAGCTACTTCAGTTTTTGGATAGCCGTCATAATTAAGAAATGTTTGGCAAGACTTCCGTGAAAGCCTTAAATAGTTGTAACTATTTAGAAACTTAGACTTACCAACAGTTGTGCATTTCCATGTCTGTCATCCACCCAAGCGACGACCAGATCAGCTCCCCTCATATTCCTTCCGGAATTAAACCCCAAGCCGACATAACCACGAGTCTTCGCTTCCAGCCTGAAGGTTATACTCGAATCCGTGTTGACCCACCGCAGTAAAACGTCTCCATTCTCATCCAATCGTTCTGAATGGGCCCAGGTCAAACTGGACTCATACGATCTCGAATCGAACGATTCCCTTCTGTGCCTTGTTCTATATTCGTTTACGATTCGTGTCGTTCTCTCGTTCTTTTTCTCTGTCTGTATTCTAAGCGTTTGGTTTTGCGCTGGATTCGACAGATCGTTCGGCTGAAACTGCCTGTGTCTCGGCAGTTTCGCGTCGCATAGAAGTGCGGCACTTAATATTATTAATGCTAGAGGATTCATCTTAGTTTCAGTCTTGACTGCGCATCACTTTTTACCTGTAAACAAAAACAATTTTTGTAATTGTTATTCAAAAGTCGTGTAATTTTAAATGTTATTTGCATATTACAGAATGTATTTGATTACCAATTCCGAGTTAAGAGTATACTATAGTAAATATTAATTAATTAATAATTTCCTACTTAGTAATATTAAAAATAATTAGCAGAATAGATTTAACAACACAAATACACCAGGTAGTAGAATAGTAAACTATACAGTAAAACTCAATGAATTAAGTATTGCTCGTTGTTTACCCGACTAGGACACATTTAAATAAACACTTTTAACAGTTTTAAACGCAAAGTATGTTAACTTAATATAACAACGGGGACGTTTTCGATGCGTTATAGCAGCCGTAATTTAATTATATGCTGTTTTTTGTATAGCATACCGATAAAGGTCAGTTTTGTATGGGTACAGCCATTTTCTCTAAATACCAACGAAACAGATGGCGCTACGTATAGAACTGTGACATTAGGAACATCCGCACTCTTTAGTCCACCCGAGACCGTGGCTGCTGCAAAGCATCCCGAAACGTCGCCGTAATTAAAACAAATAAATAATAAGTTAAATAACTTATTTCGCGTTCTAACCCGTTAAAAGTGTTTAATTAAATAGCTAACAAATGTATAAAATATTAACGTTTAAAGCTGAATGTCGTTGACCTTAAATGGTTACAAGACTTGCATTTTTAGCAATTAATTTATACTTAGAATACAAAAATGCTGTGGTTTTCGTGTGCATTTGAAATTCACTGTAGGCACAATTGCTAAATATTATTTTTTTAAATATTTCTTTCTTTTCTATCCATACGGATCAATTTCAAATTATCCTGATATGTATTCAGGGCAGGTAAAATGTACGAGGATATCTACAAGCAGAACCTTTGTACCAGCTGCGACCCGGGCACCTTTAGACGAATTTACGACAAGGCACTGAATTATTTTCGAGAAATGTCAATGTGATACACATATATATTGCGCATTTTAAACCGTTAAAGGTATTATTTTTAGCCGTACTAATTACGGAAACTGTAACTCTAAACTTGGACAGAACTTGTGCTTTATTTTAATAAAAATAAATCCCTTTAAAAAGGAATATTTTGTTTGAAATGGGCACAAAAAACATAAAATTGTAGATTTTTGAAAATCACTTGTAACTGTTTAAAACGTGAAATGTATTAGTTAACTCTTTTTTTAATATAACCCGACATAATTCGCGTTTTGCACTGTTAAAAGTGCTTTATTTAAATGTCGCGTAGATTTAGAACTGTTTTAATAGTATAATATAAATTGTGCAGTGTCACAAGGTTATATGCATTAAAAATAAAAATTGAAATATTTTGTCCCATTCAATTAATAACATTCAACTACAATAATACATGAGTAATTGCTTCGTAAATTATTTACATTTATCGTACATTTATATAACATGTGAAAATCACAAAATGTAATCACGTACTCGTTGGTCTAATTGAGCAATGGCTTATAATAATCAACAGGACGTGGGTTCGATTTCCATCATGTTCAGCCATGTTTCTAAAAATCAATTTATCCTATAAATATTTTATTGTAATTCGATGAAATAATGAGAGTGATAGGAATACCAGAATTCCGTCCGGGACACGAAACGTCGTCCTCTGACATCCAATCCAATCCATCCATCGAAATCCAAAGCTAAAATAGATCAACAGCGTACCTTATTTAGATGTTATATGGCCGAGGTATTTAACTCACCATACATATACATACCACAGGACATACGTCCTACTACGGGGTAAAGAATAGGATTAAATGTAAAATACACGCTAAATTAAACCCTTCACTTATCCCAATTTATACTAGCTCAAATCTCCTAAATCCGATGTGATTTTATTTTGACTACAAATTAGAAGGGTTTCAACCCTTCCAACCAACGCTGGACGTCAGTGAAGCCTTACCAAGAAAGGATTCATTTCAGACGAGACTGTTGAATATTGTATAACTACTTTTTACAGCGATGAGTGTTTTATATAACTCGATAATGAGGTCTAGCGGTTGTACACACCCAAAACAATAAAAGAAAATAACGAGGATGCGTTTTCGGCCTATTTAAAGATTGATATTGTTAGTAGGTACATCACGACCATATGTATGAATTTACACAGGAATTACATAAACAGAAGTTCTGTTTTTTTGGTATATTTTTACTTGAAATAAGGTGATCGTTTAGAGTTATCAATAGGTACTACGTGTATTAAAACAACGATGATGCGTTGTCGGCCTATTCTAAAATCGATATTGTTATCGTTGATATGATATGAGGCCTTATGATTGAATTCACACAGGAATTACATAGGTAGAAGAAACTTCTGTCTTTTTGTTCTCTTCCTTTATTTAGAAAAGTCACCAATAGCTAGTGCTGCACTAAATGAGAATCAAACCTACAGCAAGAGTTTAAATTATAGAATATATTCTAGTTGAGATCAAACGGAAGCACGTTAGTTAGTGGTCCAATATCATTTGTCACGCCTCGCTAACAGATCATTTCTCTAATTTCATCTGGCCATAACGAGTTCGCGGTCGAAACTTCCGTCCAATAAGCGGTATATCGGATAATCACCTGTGCCTCGGCTCGCTCGCTGAGATTGCAATTGTTTTTTGTCCTTTCCGGCAAAAAGCCTCTCTCGACACAAAAACTGTATCATATTCTATTCGTAACTGAGATGACGGCTAACGGCCCAGTTTTTGTGTAGCGACTCATTTTTGTAAAAAGGGGTTCGCTTTTTAGGAAAAACTTTGATTGAACATCTAAAAGTACTGAGGCTACCTACTACTGTGGCCGCGTCTGTGTCCTTATTGATTAAACATGTTGTTTCGCATTTGCGTTAAGTGCTAGAGGTTTTTTGTTTCATAATCGAAAAAAACAGTATAATTTCGTTCGTGATCAAAAACAGATCAAATACTTGTCTGTAAAGAAATACTCCACTTTGGTGGCCTAAAAACTTGTTATGATAAACGAGGAAAAAATTATCGTAAATATTCATAACATTTAAAACTTAATTTGTAACTAAGACATCACAGAATAGAGTTTAACAACAATAATGCCATGACCATGGGAATGCCAAATGTCCAAAGTCAAAGTCCGAAGTCTTGGTCTTCGTCTTGGTAATCTGGACGTTTATTACGTGATAGGAATATTTTCCAAACGGCTTGGTTTTCCAAATATCTAATGTCAAATTTATAAACAGCACATCTTGTTTAGACCTTATATGGCTAGGGCATCAATCTTCGTCTCTTATGAAAAATAAATCGAATTACCTATCATTCTATTGTTCTTCTTATAGCAGTAATAGAAATTATTGCCCTACCAATAGTCTAGTAAACCCCAATTTGATATCGAGCTTCGATATGCTGAAATATAAATACATTTTTATATGCAAATTGTATGCATGCTGTATGCAATTTACAGAATCCACAATTTCATATTTTGAAACGAGCACAAAGCGTCGCTATGAATATCGAACAAAACAATTTTAATCTACGATTACAAATGGCTGTTTGTAGTAATAAAAAAATCCAATAGTAATATAAGGGGACACATTTTGTGTCCGTTTCATGGAATTATTGATCTATGAGACCAATAATTCGATGAAACGGTTTCCTGACTGACCAAAGTATTCATAATTAATTAATTTTATTTAGTTCTTAACACCATTGAAAAAACAATATCTATTATTTCCAATTGAATGTAGAATGTGTCTTGTAATCGTTAGTATTGTTTATACAGACTACAATTAAAACCACTAAAGAACTAACATATCGTAGTGCTGTGAAGGAATAATATAACAGATAGAAGGACAAACATACAAAAGATCTTTTGTTTTTTTTAATAAGACTACTTGCTTACTTAGAGATTCTTTCTACATGCCTTAAGTAAGCCTTATTTACGATTTTAATGTAGCTATTACACTTAAATAAAACGCTTTAAACGGATTTAAAAGCGAAATATATTAGTTAACTTATTTACAATGTACTTTAAATGCGGCCCGAATGGTGTTGTAGCAGCCCTGATCACAGATTAAGGTAAGTTAACAAATACATTTCGCGGTTTTAACCGTTAAAAGTGTTTAATTTCAATGTGTACTACTCGCATAAACTAAAGACAATACTTAAATACATTACATTTCAATAACTAATTACTTGAGTACTGTTTGTACGCGGATATTCATGAATATTATTTGAAGAACGATTTAACTTCAATGCAAGAACGTTTCCGCGATCCAACCTCCGTTTAATAATGACTGACTTTACATACTGCACAGCGCAGTCTGCATTTCTTTGCGAATCTTTGTTATAAGTAGTCAAGACGTCCGCAAATGTTACTTCAGCCATTTTTATTTACTTACATTATTTTTTACCCAACGTAAGAACATTCAGATTCATTACTCTTGCATATTTATAGAAAACTTTTAATGGTTTAAAACACCTTACATTTTAATATAGGGTTTATACTAGGCCACTGGGGTTAAATCTATTAAGTCATTATTTCGCGTTTTAATTCGCTAAAACTGTTTTATTTAAACTACATACAGTACTTAATAAAATCTGCATGTTAATGTATAATATATTTACGTATTTTGTTTAACCAAACCTACAATGGGAGAAAATTTTATATGGCGCTCTGGCTTCATTACTGTGTGTATAAGAAAGGTGGATTTTTATTTACAAGCACGTTCAGTAATTTGATCGAACTCGTGTGCCTTTCAAGTGTTTCCAAGGGATTCGAACTTGGGACCAATTGTGCTTAAGATTGTGTCAGAGTGTGTGGTCAGAATTCTATAGCGAAAAGTATAATTAATAAACTTTATTTAAAAGAATCTTAACCAATTAAAAAATCTGTAAATTGGTATACACATGGCATACAGCTTCAGAGTTTGAAACTACTGCAGATTCGGAAATCATAATCTAATTTATACCTAA